ATATGTGGTACTTAGAAAACAATCCAACAAAAGCTTTTAATATGTCTAGTACATATAAATGCATAAAACACCAAGAGACATTACAGACCTAAATAAGAGGTATACCATGTTTATGGATGGGAAAACCCAATCTTACCAAGACATAATATAAAAAGAAATAAATTACCTCCCAACCAATGTATAATTTATACAGTTTTAATGCAAAAATCAGATCCTTCTGGGAAACTTACAAGCTTGTTCTAAAATGCATATGCAAGAAGAGAAGCCAAGAATAACTGAGACGGTCCTAAACAAGAAGGGCAAGGTTACGGGTTTTGCTCTACCAGATGTTGGCTTACAACACAAGGATAGTCGAATAGAACAATTGAACAAGACAGAGAGAACCTAGAAATAGACCCATACATAGGTGGAAATGTGATGGAAGGCAAAGGCAGCAGGGCCAACCTTGAGTATATAATTTTTTTTCATTACGTGGCCCTAGGAGAGGGAGGAAGAATTTAGTCAGATCCCTGTAGTCGGATCCCTGCCTCACACTATACATGAAAACACCATGGCCGATGGGTTGAAGCCTTTTTATAAAACGCGTAACTTTAAACAATGAAGAAACTTTAAGAAAGTATCCTCATGACTTCTGCATAGGGGAAATGTTTTAACGTGAGACTTTTGTTCAGGTTTGTTATTTTTGTGTGTGTTTGTCTGGCCCTGAGATACGGATTCCAGTGCAAGGAGTTTATTTAAGAGCTGGCGTAGGACACACGGGTGCGGGAGAAGGGGAACTGAATTGGAGGAGAGAAGTCAGCCCGTACAAGGTGTGTTGTCAGCAAAATGGCCATTGAGAATGGCTGGGGTTGGGACAGTGGCCGAGTGTGATCCAGGGACCAGCGCTGACTCATGAACTCTTTCTGGGCTGTGGCAAGATAATTGCAGAAATAGAGGGTAAATTTTTAAAAAGGAGAAGCTTTTATCTTCTATGTTTCTAAATTTCATGTTTACTCTTTAATTTTGCTTTCCTACTAATTCTCTGTGTGAGTGTGTGTATTTTCTGGCAGTATCAGTCCGTAGTGGGTTCAGAACAATGGAAAGAATAACAACAAGGAGCACTGGGGTTTCAGTACTGAGATCATTTAAGAAGGATTCATAGAACACATCTCCGAGTTAACCCAACTGAGTTGGGAGAACACTGGGATACTCATCCATCAACTGCCGTCCTGTCATTGCTTGAAGGATGTTTGGGGGCCATTAATTCTCTGACATTTCTCACTTGCCCTGGTGGGGACCAGGTTTGCTTCCTCAGCCTTTGGGAAGAGAGCCAGGGTGTCCTAGTAAGCATTAGCCCGGGGGCGGGACACCAACGGCATCCCCTACTAAGTCTTTTTTCCTGCACATTTTTTAGGTGTAATTGATTCATAAAATTGTATATATTTAAGATGTACAACATGATGATTAAATATATATACATACTGAAATAATTACCACAATCTAGTTACGAAGTCTATCTTTCTCTTCCTTCTCTCATACAAAAGAAAAAAGAAAAACTTTGATGAACTGATCTTCATCCAAAGGTAACATAATGGGAAAGGGAAGACACAAACAAGAAAAAATTTTTTATAACACAGGTAGCCAATCAAAGGATTGGTAACAAGACTATAGTCTTGATAGAGTCTTTCCTTTCCCTTTCCCACCCTTCCACCTCTTTCTACCACTTTCGCTTCTGGGGGATTGCCATTCATTAAGCCACGACCTCTCCCATCTTTGGAAGGGGCTCTACGTGGCTGCACAGCTCATCCCTGCCGCATCTCGCTTTCTCCTCCCATTGACAGCCTGGATCATTTGCTTGTCAGCACAGTCCCTCGCCCTCCACTCTTTTCTCCACCCACTGCAGGGGGGTGGCTTGAGACCCCAACATTCTTCCTAAATTACTCTTCCTTGGATCCCGAGGAACCATGAAGATGCTAAATTCAGTGGGAAAATGTGAGGTCGCACCCCACTCGATGACTCAGCCACATCTGTCAGTCTTAACCAGTCCCTTCTGGACCTTCCCGTGTCCACTGTGAGACAGCTCACCTTCCTGGTTCCCCTGAACACGGCCTCGGTTCCTCAGTTTCTTTGCTCCCTCCTAATTGTTCATATTGTGGTTCTTCTTGGTTTAGCCCTAGACCTGCTTTTTTGCTGTGGTTCCTCTCTGCACTCTTGCTGCAGTATCTCTCCTCTGCCCGTGATTTTCATTTCCAAGCATTGGTCCCAGTCCTGTGTGTCCAGTGCCGCTACTCAACGTCGCCCATTGGGTGTCCTACCCACACCCCAAAGGAAGTGTGGCAAAAGGTTCCTTTCCAAAGTGAACCCTCCGCTAAGTTTCCTCTCAATGAGCAACTCTCCGATCTGCTGCAGCTGTGTAAATACAGCAGCGCCGTCTTCCTTGACACCTCCTCCATTTCTCCACCCTTATCCATCACCAAATCACACCAAATCACATTAGTTAGCACCCCCAACTCTCCTGCACAGTTTGCTTCTCTTCTGCATACCACCACGCTGGTCCGAGTTACCAGCCTTTGCCCTGGGATGGTTTTTCTCCTTCTGCTGTTCCCTCCCAAAGGTACCCACCATACTCAGCACTCGCCCTCCCCGCCTTTGCCCCAGTAACTTCTGCTTATCTGTTCACTTGAACTTATTTTCCACGTATTATCCTGACTTGCGGGACTGGTTTTTCTCTGCTCGTTATAATTCTCCCAAAGTCCTGATAACTTTAAAATTTTACTTAGGAGTGTAATTATTTACTTAATGTCTGTTGCCCTTTTCCAGAATACGAGCTTTATCAAGGGTTTGATTCTATCCTTTGCTGTCTGTCGATGCTTCCCTAGTGACTGCCGCCATCCCTTGGTCGTATTAAATAGTAAATAAATATTTGTGGAAAGGATGAATAGATAAGGAAAAGCAATAAGAGATCTGACTCCTTAGGAGCTTCTGCATTCCTAAAAGACTTAAAAAGCAAATGAAAAACTGACAAAAATATTTGTAACTTATGCAAAAAAAAGCTTATGTTCTTAAAAACAGATTATAATTACAAGCTCGTAAAACAATGATGAACAAAAATGAAGAGCCATACAGGGAAATGAGCTCAGGGTCTAGAGAGCACGTTCATAAAAGAATCAATGCAAATGGCCAATTAAACTGAAAAACAAATCCGCACTCTCCAGTGTTCTAAAAAACGATATACTTATTATTTTTCTTTTTAAAATAGTCAGTGGTGGCAAGAGTTGGAAATAGGCATCTTCTTCTCTTGGGGATCCCAGAATGGTAGCAAACTTTCTGGAAGGTGCTCTGGTAATGCGTGGCAAAACCCTTCAAAATGAAATATTTTGGCACAATAAATCGATTTCCGTGAAGTTATCTCAGGGACATCAGTAGAGGTTCACGCAAGTACTTATTCATATGAATGCTCGGTATAGTGTTGTTTGTATTTGTAAAAAAAAAAATTAAGCCAAATTTAATGACAATAATAAAGGAATGGTGACCGTAATGGGGCATGTCCTTCTCCAAACAACCATTAAAATACAAGGCCCCAAAGAACATTTAAGCATTTTTTTAAAATCCGTGATTGGTGTAGCTGTCAAAGGAGATCACAACACAAAATGTGCAGTAGGAATTTAATTTTTAAAAATAAAAAAGTATATATACTCAGACACATAAAGTTAGCTTCAGTTATGAGGATTATGAGTGACGTTCTTTTCTTTTTTAAATCTTTTTGTATATTCTTGATATTCAACAAACTCTGTGTATTGTGTCCATAATGAGGAAAACTAAATCTATTTTAATGTAACGGTAGGGAGCTGATGGGGCCATATGGCCGAGGCTGCGTCTAGAGACACATCGCAGGATCCTTCAGAGTATACGCTTTGAAGCTCAAACAGGTGATCAGTTCCCTCTTTACAACTTAAGAGCCATGTGACCTTGAGCAAGTCATTTAATTCTCTTCGCCTCGGTTCCCTTATCAACACAAGAGAGATGATACATACTGGGCAGAGAGCCCTTCTGTGGCTTAAATGAAATAATGTATGTAAAATTCTCATCAAAGAGTATGCGCTTAGTCCAAGTACCTGCTTCTTATGAGGCCAAAATATAAATAGACCCGGTAATGATTTACACGACTTCATGATTCTCTAGGGGGTTATAACTAGAAGTTGGGGCATTGTTTATCCTATGGTTCAGTATCTTCCACACTGTCCTAATGATGGTGGCATCCAGCAGGAGGATGCTGGCAGGAAGACTGGCCTGGAACGCAAGCAGCCCAGGACAGATTTTGCTCATTAGGGCCAATTGCTGGCATAGGTCATTTATTTACCTACTCATCCAACCAGCAAGTGGTTATTAAGCATCTACTGTGTTCCAGACGTTGGAGGCTCAGCAGCGAGACGAACTAGCTGCCTTCTTGGAGTGAGGCAAGCTTCTTCTAATTGGATTGACACTTCAGGACACATATTTCCTGTTGGATTCAAGTGAGGAAGGACTTCCTATAGCGGAAGGAAATGTGGCAGGGCTCGGAAAGTGAAGCTGACGTTGCATTCTGCAAATACCATCCTAAGGCAAGATTTCAGTTCCAGGAATCCCACATGCTGGCACGGCTAGGGGGCCTACAGGGGTCCTCCCTCCCCTGCTCAGGCTTAGTTCAAGACCAGACTTGCTCAGTTTGCAGGTGAGAAGCCATCGGCCTTCCAGAAGAGGGATGAACAAACTATGGCCCGTGGGTCAACTCCAGCCATTGCCTGTTTTTAGAAATAAAGTTTTATTGACATGCAGCCAGGCCCCCACATTTATGGGTTGTCTGAAGCTGTTTTGTGCTACAGGCACAAAGTAGAGTAGTTGCCATGAAGGAGTGTATGGCTCACAAATATGTATTATTGGACCCTTTCCAAGAAAACGTTGCCAGCTCCTCTTCTGGGTCAGTGGGGTTGGGGACATGAGATGGAAGGTGACATCCAGTTCCTAACGTTTTCTTCCTGCAGTTCCAGGAGCTGTCCCGCTGGAGTCCATCCAAGGAGGGCCCTTCGAGGAGAAGATCTACATCCAGTGGAAACCTCCCAACGAGACCAACGGGGTCATCACGCTTTACGAGGTAAGGAGGCCTGCCAGTCATCTCGCTTGTTGTGGCTTCATGCCATTTACTTCAGCCAGAGGTTGGTGAACACCTACTGTGTGCAGAGCTCCGCCGAGGGCATGAAGGTGAGTGAGACACAACTTACCAACACAGTGGGACGGAAACACAAGGGCATACAGTTACGCTGTCTCGGTGGCCCCAATAACAAAGAAAATCGGACATACTGTGCATCAAAGTGATTCTTGATCTCTTCAGCAAAGGCTTCAGGAGAGGCAGGTCATCCTGGTGTAGCCTAGACGACCCAAGCCTGGCAAACAGTAGTTATGATTCATCGAGAAAACCACAGTACAAACACGCTGGCCACCCTACCCGCATCAGTCCCTGGGCTTCCGAAAGAATCCCAGTGTCATTCTCTCCCCCAGGGGTACATGATTCTTGAGATTGAACATTGCTCTGTGGCCAAGGTGCATTTTATTGTCACCCAGGTGATGGTGTCCCAGGGTTAGCAGGACCATATCCTATCAGAGATGGAACAGAAGTGACTCATAAGCCAACATAATGTGGCTTCCTGAATACTTTCAAAATTAGAATGACTTGTATAGAAGCCCACTGCAAAACAAAAACAAATGCACAAAAACTTGAAGAAGGCCGATAGAGCTGAATTCTAGTATTGGAATATGGCTGAGATTACCTCTGCGGCTAAGCCTTGTGGTCTGAGATAGCATGAGACTGTGATTCGGGACGCAAAGGAGAAATGCAGCAATGCAGAGGGGCTCCGTGGCAGCCAGCCGGAGGGAAAGATGGAGCTGGTATCCTTGTGGCTCTATCCTGGTCCTAAGTGACCTTTAGCAGGTTTTTCCTCTCTCCAAGCTTCGGTTGCTCATCTGTAAAATGGGGGTGGTGGCTAGTGCTTCAGGGTTCCTCTGGGGAATCTGAGGGGAGAAGGGAAAGGCAAGCATCCCCAGGCTCAAATGCGCAACAGGCCCATGGAGGGACGTGAGGCCTCAGCGCTCATGCAGAAAGGGACATGTACTGAGAGCGTGCTCGGGGAAGAGTATCCCCACCTCCAGGGAGGCCGAGCTCTGGGAAGGAAAGCCACGGAGCACTCGATGAGAGAGACAGATTCAGGATGAACCTGATGGACACATGCTCTCCAGAGAGAGCAGAAGGACCTTAGAGCTCACGGAGGAGAAAACTATCCATCAGGTAGAAGGTGCTTGAGAAAACACATTCAGAAAGCGCTGTATCTCATGAAATGCCACAGTCCTCGGAAGATAAGCTGTGTAACGTCCCCATCGTGGGCCTTAGGATCGGGAGAAGCTTTCTCCCTGTGGACTCTGCTAGAGAGGTGGGAGGCACATACCGAAACACCTTGCCTAGGACGAGTTCAATACCTCCTCGGGGGAGAGTGGGGCTGCAAACTCAGCTGGAACAAAGCCCAGCCATTCCATAGCTACATGATGTTCTTTGTAAAGCAGAGGCCAAAATTACACACTCATGCACACACGTGACCTAGAGTTCTGTTGTATACAGCAACCCCCTGTTTGTAGAGCAGAAGCAAAGGACCCAGGACTCAGAGAGTTGAGTTGCTTAGTACTGTTATGTAAGTGGCTGTCTGTGCCAGGTGTTTGGGATTTTTGGAATTCACAGGCTGCTAACATTTTTAAAGGTTTGGGGGATCAACTTGGAGTGCTTTACCATATTTTAGCTTCATTTCATAAAGGACATAATTTCAAAACTACAGAGAGGACATAATTTCAGAATAAAAGGCAGTCCCTTCAAATTGAGTAAGTTTAGATCATCATGAATAACTCATGCCAATAGTCTTATTTTCTCTCATTTTGCCTTACATTGAGGACAACTTTGCCATGAAAAGGCCCTGATCCTGGTACCTACCTGCACTTGGGAACCCCCAGTCTAGGCCATGTTGTAGGTAGAGCCGTATGTCTGCACAGCCTACTTCCTCTGATAGGGTTATGCACCAGACTGGGCTAGGAAACCCTTGACTGCTATTCCAGGATGAGAAGAAAGAAACAGATGGAGCAGGAGCCAGAGTGCAAACCCACCTGTGCGTTAGACACCCTGTTTGAGCAATTGCTCCCGAAGCCGGGACTTTGTTAGACGGAGCACTCTCTGGAGCTCTGGGCACGAAGGTGGGCGTGCATTGGGACAGTGTGGCCTGCTTCCCACTTTGATGTGAACCCAGTGTCTGGAGAGTGTTCAAAGGCCAGTTGCTGGGGTTGTTGGCACCCCGTGAGGGACTCTACTGGAAACAGCCATGATGAGACACTGTGAAGTAGGTCTTTGGATGCTGCAGAGAATCAGAGGGCAGAGAAGCAGAGCTGGAAGCCTGCGGCTGTCTGCCCTGTTTAAGAGCACTTGAGGTTACCTTTGGGGAATGTGCCCAAGGGCTTGGATGGTGCTGTGAAGGGAGCTAAGGAAGTCATGGGCATAGGCCCTTGTATTTCGAGCATAAACGTGGCCATGACTATGTATGTCACAAGCTAGTGAAGCCTCAGCAAGTGAGGATGTTGACTTTTGAGGTCAGACAGTCTCGTTCTGAATCCCAGCTCTGCCACTTACTTGCTGTGTAACCTTGGGTTTATCCTGGAACATTTAGTTTATATTTGCATCGAAGTATAAATACCTGTTTAGTACTGTGCTTGGCATTTAGAAATATTAATAAATGTTAGCTCTTACTATTACATAAAAAGTAGAAAATTGAGACTCGGAGAGGTGAAAAGAAAAGACCAAGGTCACACAGCTGAGATGCAAATCCATGGGCCCTGAATCCAAGTGCAGGTGTCTTGCCCCGTAGTCAGTGTGGCTCACGGGCCAGTGGCATCAGCAGCACCTGGGAGCTGGTCAGAAACACAGCATCTGAGGCTCCGCCAGACCTCCTGAATCAGAGTCTCCAGGTCAGCGGGCTGCCTGAGTGATTCACACGGGCAATGACCGATGACGTTTGAGAAGCGCCGCTCTAGACCACCCAGCTAGCTCTTGAGAAAGTTTAGGCAGTGGACAAAGGAATATGCCCTCCTGGGCAGGGAGGTGGGGAGTGCCCCCTCCATGCGGGGCTCAGCCCAGTCCTGCTCCAGAAAGTAAGCAGACCTTGCTTTAAATGACATTTATAACAGAGTATATGGGTATGAGGCAATTTCCAAGTTTAATTAGATGAAACCAACTTGGTTTTTAACGTTAGGTTCCGGTTGTAATTTTAGAGAGAAATTCCTAAATTACAAATCACCCTCTCTGGCCTCAAAAAATACATTTTGTGACAAAAAAATAGGCTAACAGAAATGGAAGAGAAATTCAAGATTGTCTGTACCTTCCTGTGTACAACCTTGAACTCAGCAAAGTCAAAAGCCAAAAGGGGGGAGGGGTATAGGCGGGTTATTACTGTCGAATGTTGTAACTGTTGTTAAGCACTGCAGGTCCAAGTACTATATAACATGTTAAGATTAAATTTTCTTCCCCATGAGTCCAAATCACAGCCTGTGGGTTCGTCCTTGGACAGCTTCACCCCCAAAATCCGAGTGGCTTTGATTATATCTCAGTCTCTCTCTGGGCTTCCGTCCTGTCTTTGTAACCTGAAAGTGCCAGATTGTTCCAGGCTCTAACTGGCTGAGAATCAGGAGAAAACTAAAGGTACATCAAACCCACACAATCAGAGGTTTATGCCTCATTTTGGAACTGCTCTGCTGCTAAAACCTTGCCTGTGGCCAGAGTCTTTGAAGGCAAAGCCGTGATGACCCTTGAAGAAAAGCAGCAAGTGCAAGGGCCCTGGGGTAGGGATGACTTTAACAGGTTTGACAAATAGGAGGTCAGGGTGACCGAAGCTTTGTGAGCAGGGAGGACCGTGATAAGACTGTGGGTTGGCAGGGTCTGATTATGGAGGGCTTCTAGAGTTTGTGCTTTATCCTGGGAGGAATAAAAAGGCCTAGGATTTTAAGCAGAAAAATGAAGGAGTCAGAGTGATAATCTTAAAAGATCACTTGGCTGTTGTGTGTGGCTAACGAAGCATCTTGGGGACATCGGAAAAATGCGCCAGGAGCCGAGGACATTCCCATTCATCTGTGACACTGCAGTGAAAGCTCGGGTTTTACTGGAAGACCTGGTACCCAGGTGGAGATGGGAAAACTCGGTCGCATCTGCCTCCTTCTGTACTTTAGTGGGAGATGTGGAATGCTCTTCTGCGGTCGCAAAGCAATGGGTAGTGGAGAGTGAGGCTGTGTCAAAGGCCTTGGGTCCACAAACCAGCGGATGGACCTCAGACACGCAGAGTCTCAGGCCCGGGCCCAGACCCACTGAACCCAAGTCTGTTTGACCCAGATCTCCGGATGATTCATGTGCACGTTCAAGTGTGAGAAGCACTGGTCTCAGAGACATGGTAAAGCTCGACCTGATGAAAACAGGTCCTCAGGTGAACGATGTGGCCGTTGGATGGACTGAGGGATGTCCCCGCTCCCACGGGGTCCAAAGAGCTTGAGTTTTTTCACCAGGAAAGTGAAATCAGGCCGTTCCCACAGTCCCTTCTAGAGCCCTGTCTGGGTGCCCCCATCAGGGCAGGTGTGAGAAGAGGGTGTCGCTGTGGCCTTCCCGTCCAGACTGTGCTCTTGCGAATAACACAGCTCACCAGAAATAGATCATCAACGCTGCAGACAGGCACCGACGGCCCAAATGAGGTCACGGGGGAAACAGCCCAGCCAAACAGTTGTTTAAAAACTCCTCGATAAAATCGTTCACAGGCAAGCTGTTCAGCGCTCGTGAAAAACAGTAATCAATATGTGTCTCAATTCAATTCATTGTTCTCGTCTCTGTCCCAGAATAAAAATCACGCAGTGCGAGGGAATTTGGGCCAGAAGATGTTACACCAGCAACGGGGTTAACGAAGTGTGAAAATATTTAAAATTCAGACATGTGAAGCTTCCCTGTAAGCTTTTCTGTTTAGCAGTCAAAATCACCAAGTTTCTAATTACAGTGTATAAATCTGAGGCGCTTAAAGGGAATGAGAGGGC